TAATAGGCCCCTGTTTCTCAGCCTCTGTGCTACATGAACCCCACATTGCAAGTCCCTGACCTCAGGTCAGGAGAGAGTGATGGAATGGAGATTTGGGGTGTCAAAGGGCTTTTGGAAACACACAGAGTGGCTTTTATGGGGGACAAATAGGTTTACCCTTTGCGGCTAACACTGCCACTGCTCCCTTATCCTCTGCCTCCCCACTGTTTCCCCTCTCCCCTGCCCCCTTCCTTTAATGGATGTGGCGGACTTAGTCGCTGATCTTATTTTCCTCTTTCAGACAACCAGGAAGGAGTTTAGACTCCAAATTTCCGGCCAAGTTGAGATGATGTGTAGGACTTCTTGGGATGCGTTCCTGTGGATCAGCCCTCATTCTTTAGTCTTCCTTTTTAAGCTTCTGACATGTGATTTCTTTGGGTTTGGCTTTAGTATTCTAGTTTTTGTTAGGATTCTGTTACGTGCTGTGTTATGTGCCTGCTAAAGTTGTTTTTGGAACAAACTTATAAAATCCCAAGTTGATGGTTGCCTGTTTTGCTCGAGTGCTCATTGGGCGGTAGAAGGCCACTTTGTCTCTCTGTGTCCAGAGTTTAACTTCTTTTCATGTGAAACAAGAAAACTGGCATCTGGGATGCACTAACATGGGAATGAGCATGGCTTAGAATTCGTTTCTACTGCTACGACCTAGAAGGCAGGTATGAAAACAATCCTGGAAGTCTAGTATTTTTGCCTTAATTCTGTTCTCTTGGACGTATAGTCGGAAAACACGTGTTAGACATTCATCCGTGGTGACTGAACACTACAGTTGCTTACAAGCATGAGTTCGTCAAGTGGGTATTTATGAGACACCGACTGCATGGGTAGCACTGGGATGGACACAGTGAGAGAAAACACTTGTACAGAAATATAACTGAGCAGGTGACAGGCTGCAGATCAGACAGCTCTCCTGCAGGACGGCTGTGTCCATGTGCTGGGCATCATGGGATAAGCATGCATTACCCAGCCAGTTCAGCCCTCTGGACGTTGTGTGTTTAAAGTCATCAAGGCAAGTCAGTTCTTCATTCTTCTAGAACTTAAATTTGGTGATGCCAACCTCTACCAGGGTCTGTTTCAAAAGATCTTGATGACCAGTGAGACACCAGCAGGTATAAAACCCTTGCTGTACGTGCCTGATGACCTGAGTTTGAGCCCTGCAACCCATACTATAAAAGCTGGACTTGGTGGCTAACCACTATAAGCCTAGCACTTACTTTTATGGGGCCATAGAAGGAGAGTCAGCTGGAAGCACACATAAGCAGTAGCAACAGGAATAACAAGAGAGACTGTGAGTTGTAAACAAGGTGGAAGATAAGACCCAACTCCTGAACAGTTGTCCTCTGACCGACACGTGTGTGCCTGTACACATCCGTGGGCACGCCCCCACACACACCTCAAGCAAATGAATCTTGGCCCCGATAGAACTGAAACTCAGGTGTGTCCTGATATGTCCATCCATCACTGACTGTAGATTTCATCTTTGCGAGTCTCCTTACTTTTCTAAAATTTACCTGCAACCTCTAAAATCATACTTGGCTCTCTCCAGCTATACACAGGTGCGAAACCTTGATGCTAGCTGAGGTGAAACAAGGCTATGCTTGCCTTCCTGTTTCAGCTCAAGTACTGTAAACAAATCATCCTTTTTGCAGTCTATTTAGGGCCATAGTTTTGCATCTTGTGATGTTTGTGGGATTTCAGTCTTCATGATGGCCCCTAAGTATTTTCCTGAAGTGCTGCCCTGTGTTGCTATTCTTAGGAAGGAGGTAGTGTGCCTTAGGGAGAACTGTGCCTTCAGTTGCCTCATTTGGGCATGAGCTACAGTGCTGTTGACCATGGGTTCAGTGTTAATGAGCCAACAGTATGTATCAAATATATATTAACTAAGGTGTCCTTTAGAAGCATGTACAAAGCAAGGCTGTGTGTTGATCTCTTGGTGAGATGTGACCGGTTTGTAATAACCCAATTCTGTATTTCTCTTGGGCACAGTATTTCAGTGTTCCGTGTTTGCAACGGTTCCATAGAACTGCCATGACTCAAAATTGACTGCATGTGGAGGGCTAAAGCAAAAATGTATGTCACTCACATACCAGATGCCTACTTCCTGGGCTTTATTTGTCTTGTCTTGTCTTGTTTGCTTGTCTTAAGTGTAACGGCTCCCAGACTTGGCTGTGGGTTAGACTGCTCTGGGAGCTGGACAAAATGCTGATGAGCCTAGCCAACTGTGAGGGTCTAGTTTAGTTGCCTGGGGGTATGGCCTGGCTATAGAAAAATTTCAAGTTCTTTCAGGAACTCTGTCGCAGGCACGGTTGAACAGCAGTGCTTCACACATAGAATTTACAATACTTCTGAGAAGTGGAGGCTGGCCAACTTGAAGAGGCCCTCTGGGGGCTCACATCACTGAAGACCCACAGCTGCTGTAGGGACGGGACAACAGAAACCACAGCAGAAGACATGGAGCACTGACCAGCACACTCACCAGCCCCACTCAGGAGATACAAGCCAGGAGAGGGTGGATGCAGACTTAGATGGGTTCCAAGGAAAAGGTCATTGGTGACAGAGGGCAGTTCCCACTAGAGACTGGGGACCTGTGGTTAAATGAAGGAAACCACTTCTCATCCTTCATCTTACTCAGTGAGCGGTCCCTGAGCACTCACATTGTCTGCAGTAGCTGTTAGGGAGGGCATGCAATGGAAACTGAGATGACGGGATCCCTGCCTTCTAGAAGGTGATGGCCCTCTGTGGAAAAGATAGCACAATAGAGTGTGGAATGGGCACTGCTGCCCATGGCAGAGTGGCCTTCTCTGGGAGTAGCTGAAGGCCTTGCAGAGTGCTCACAGTTGAGGGGCAGCATGATGGATGAGAGAGAGACGCATACTGACAAGTTGTTGGGTGTAACGATAACCCTTTCCGTCAGCTGCCTGGGTTCTGCGGACGCTTTAGGGCCCCCAAATTACCCACAGAGTCTTATATTAGTTACAGTGCTGCTGGCCAATGACTAGGATTTCTCATTTGCTAGCTCAGTCTTTTTTTTTTTTTTTTTTTTTTTTTTGGTTTTTTCAACACGGGGTTTTTTTGGGGTTTTGGG